CTGGGCCTGCTTGAGCAAATCGATGAACAATAGGACCATGACCGTGATGAAGGCCAAGGTGGTAAGAAAGGAGCAGTACTGTGCTGTCCCAAAAGCTAAGGAAGAAAATTAAGAATTCATACAAAATAAGAATTTAGGGTTCTGATTGGGTAGCGTAGGGTGCTTGCCTTGAACATAACTGAGCTGGGTTTGATCCCAGCATCCCATATGGTCCCCCAAGCACCACCAGGAATAATTCCTGAGCACAGAGCAAGGAGTAACCCGAGCAGAAAAAGAATAGGAGGAGGAGGAGGAAAAGGAAGGGGAGAAGGTGATTTCCATAGTGAAGGAAACCAAAAACCAAGACTGAAGCCAGGAAACTTCAGTCATTATTTTAGATCAGGAAGATCTTGCTTTTACTAGGTGGGAGAAGATTTATTCGTGTGTATGGACATACAGTTGGTTGAAGAACTGTGTGGCTACCAAAAGCCAATACATACTCTTAACAACTAGTCATTACTTTTCATCCAGATCAGATAGTCAAAACACAGAGATACCAAGTGTGCTATATGAAGGCATGCCAATTTATTATAACTATATGAAAAGGGTCACCTAACCTTTGAATTTAGGGTAAACTTTGCTGAGAATGGCTCTTTTCTAATAAATTCTCTTTGCTAGAAAAACTCCTTACCAGGAGGAAGAAAGTAGAAGAGATTGATGAAGTGAACCTGGTAGAATTTAATCCAAATCTTAAAAGATGGCACCATTATAATGGAGAAGCTTATGAAGGGTGGTGTTCAGTGTCAGGCCTCTTAATGGGGTGAGTTACACTGCTGGCATTTTCTATGTAGTAGTGAATGAGTGATGAACTGTCAGTCACATTTTCTATGCAGTAGTGAATGAGTGGTGGACTGTCAGTCACTACTTATTTTAATATTCAACTATAGTAGTGTTTTAAAAGTTAAATGACTATAAAAGTGCTGGAATAAATAGGAGCTGGAGAGAGAGTCTATCAGGTAGGGCACTTGCCTTCCAAGCAGCCATCCAGGCTTCAATCCCTGGCATGCGCTGAGCACTACAAAGAGTAATTTCTGAGTGCAGTCCACAGGATTCCCATATGCAAAAGTTCATCAATTGCAGTAAGGTATCTTTGCTGACGAATGTTGCTAATAGCAGAGGTTATGTATGTGTAATACAGCAGGGGCATACAGCATTACACTGCCCAACCTACTCTAGATTTTATGCTGCTTTTTGTTTAAAAAAAAGGGGGGGGGGAGGGTTAGAGCCAAAAAATTAGTATAGTAGGTAGGACACTTGCCATGCACAAAGCCAACCAGGGTTCAATCTGTTATCCCATATTGTCCCCTGAGCACCACCACCCGTGATTCCTGAGCATAAAACCAGGAGTTAAGCCTGAGCATTACTGGGTGTGGCCCTCAAACAAACAACAATAGTACAACCATGGGATAAGACCATTAAGTAAAGGTTTATTATTTAACTGCTGGTATTAGCTAAAAATATGCTGTGATGGGGTTGGAGAGATGGTACAGTGGACAGGCCACTGGTTTTGCACCTGGTCAACCCAGTGTCAATCTCCAACACCCTATTTGGTCCCTGAGCCCAGTCAGGAGTGATACCTGAGTACAGAGCCAGGAATAAGCCCTGAGCTCTGCCAGGTGTGGCTCAAACATGAAAAAGGAGATGTGATGACTACACAGTGTAATACCTCTATTTTTTGCTCAATTCTGGTGTGAACCTAAAACTGCTCTAGGAAATAAGAAACTTAAAAAAAAAAAGTGAATACTGGGTGAGTGAAATAGTTCACAGGGTTGGTGTGCATACTCTGCGTATATGAAAGTCCTGAATTTGAGCTCCTGAACCAATGCACAGTACTCTAAGCAACACATCAGGAGTTACTGCCTTGCCTGGGATGCCCGCCACAATCCCCAATGGTGAACATTATCCTCGGCAAATTATATCTTAATAAAACTGACTAAAATGTATTAAACAATACTAAGTAGTGGAGCACTTGCCCTGCATGTGTAAAGTCCCAGGTTCAATCCCAAACACCAAAAGAAAAAAAATTTTTTTTTAATTAGTGAAACACCATGAGGTACAGTTGTAGACTTACAAACTTTCGTGCTTGGGTTTCAGTTATACAATGATCGAGTACCCATTCCTCCACTAGTGCCCATTCTCTACCACGAATGATCCTAGTAGCACTCCCACCCTACACCCCATCCCACCCCTGTGGCAGGGCATTCCCTTTTGCTCATCCTTTCCTTCAGGGTCTTGTAGTTTGCAATAGAGGTATTGAGTGGCCATCATGTTTGGTCTATAGTCTACTTTCAGCACGCATCTCACATCCCAAGCGAGACCTCCAAACATCCTATACTTGGTGTTCCCTTCTCTATCTGAGCTGCCTTTTTTCCTCCAGCATATGCTGCCTGCCGGCTTCCAAGCCTTGGACCTCCTGGTACTTATCTCAACTGTTCTTGGGTGTTCAACTCCCATTCTGTTACTTTATATTCCCCAGATGAATGCAGTCTTTCTATGTCTGTCCCTCTCTTTCTGGCTCATTTCACTTAGCATGATACTTTCCATGTAGAACCACTTGTACGTAAATTTCATGACTCCATCTTTTCTAACAGCTGCATAGTATTCCATTGTGTAGATGTACCAAAGTTCAAAAGAAATTTTTTTAATCGAATAAATTACTTCTGGCACATTGCTAAGTGCCCACAGGAATAACATACAAACATATAAATTTTAAATATATCTAAAATGAAATAAAATATATATATTTTTAAACCCTAAGCAATTAAACTTCATACAAGTTTTGCCTGCAATATATATCCCCAATCTCTTAACTAGCTCTCTGGATGTTCAGACTGTTACAAGTTCTATTAATTCCCCTTCTTCCTTTACTGCATCTCTAAGCCTCCAAGTCCTCTGAATTCTGCTTCTATAATATCTCACTGTTCCAAAGAAATCTTCCATTCTGTCTCATTTATGGCCAACAATTAACTGTCATTATCATATATCTGGGCTACTGCTAAGTGTCCCCTAAAATGATCTGTGAATGATCCCTATTTCTTATTCCCTAACAACCCTGCATCTATTTAAGGCTACATATATTTCCATAATATTCTTTGTATTTGTTTACATTTTGGGCCACACTTGGTGATGCTCTCAAGGCTTATTCCTGGCTCTGTGCCCAGGGATCACTCCTGGTGGGCTCAGTGGACCAGTACGGTATCAGGATCAAACCTAGATCCACTGTATGTAAGGCAAGTGTGGACACTCTGTACAATTACTCCAGCCCCTTTGGGGGTGAGGGCGGGGAGGGGGTACACCCAGTGGTGTGTAGGACTTAGTCCTGTGCTATGCTGGAGATTGAACCTGGGTTGGCTATGTGCAAAGAAAGCACCCTACCCACCGCTGTTCTATGGCTCCTGTAGCATTTTCTTTCTAAAATGCCCAAAAGTTGGGCTGCAGATACAGTAACGGGTAAGCACTTACAGATGTGAAACTCCATTTTCAATGACCAGTATACACCACCCACCCACACACCCACTGAGGGGGTGGGAGGGCGGGGTGATATATGGGGGCTACAAATGTTCAAGAGCTCCCTCAATGGAAACATCTCAGTTCCTTATGCTTCAAAAACTTTCTCATCACTATCCTGCCCACAAAATGGTCTCTTCTGTTTAAGTTTTATTCTAGACCTTTTCCTTCTAATAAACCTTCCATCAATATTCCACCCAAAATTTCACCTCCAAATTTCCAAAGCTTTACTGCAGGTACCAACTATAATTTCTCACTTATGTTTTTTGTCTCTCCACCATAAATTTTCCTTACAGTCAGAGACCATAAAATACTAGCTTTTCCATTACTAATAGAATACTAATCGTTGACTCTGGTTATGAAACGAAGAAAGGACAAAAATTTGCTAAGAAGAGAAGAGCTACCTACTCTTCTTTGGAAGCTACTTCTTCCTTATTTCATAAATCAAATTAGGAAATAAGTTTTAACTGTTTTAGAAAAAGGTTAATTGACTGTTTGCCTTAAAAGCAGAGAACATAGCTTCCAAAGCGAAAGAAAAGTAAGTATTCTGCATTACCCTAACACAATTATGACTATATATTTCTACAAATGCCTGAAAGGTGTAAACCCAGACTGGCAGGGATTAGGCAGAACAATACAGTGATAGTTGTATATAACTAAAAATGGACAACCTATTTCCCACTCTGTCAAAAGGGGATGTCAAATAATAATAATAATAATAATAATGTAATTATAATGTAATGTCTCCTTCTACTGTCTCTCTGATAACATCAACTCCCAGAATTTCACCAGTTGCTAACTTTAAAGGACTATGTAACAACAACACGCCCAAAGAAATTAGGGTTAAGGAATTTACAGAAGTTAAAAACTCTCCAATACATTCCTTTGAAAGTAGTGAAAGGTAGTTTTGATGCAGAAAGTTAAAGGAACAGATTTTGGACAAGGTACTATTTTCCAAGTTTGTACTGATTCTAAATATACTATCAGTAATATTGGCAAATAACAAAAACAATCATTTCCTGAATAGAGCACCTACTTTGCTTAATTTTATGAGGGTAATAAAAATGAAATCTTCCATGGATAGTGCCAGTACGTACTAGCTGTTCAATAAAAAAAAAAAATCAAACAGTACTTCAATATTATCTCACTAATACTTAGTCACAATGTGGCCTTTTACCAAGTACATTTTTATAAGTACCATGCACGAATTGAATGCTCCACTGGAGCTCCTACCAAGTACATTTTTAAAAGCTGGATGCATGTAATATGAGTAGTCATTCAATATGTATAACTATTTTAAAGAGTTGCTAATACTATCTCTTGTTTAGCTGTGACAATGAAGCTTAAAAGTCAATCAAAACATTAGAGAATATATTGTATGTACAAATAGGTTTTTCTTATAAAATGCCTACTTTCTTGCTTTTTGCACCACAAGAACAAAAATAATCATTTACCTTCATCATCATCATCTCTTTCTTTTTCTTCCAAAGCTTGTCTTTCCAACTGTCTTGTAACCTCATCAACTGACATTCCTGATTCCTTATCAGGTTCCTGCTGCCCTGCTGAGCAAATTAAATAGGACAAATTATATAGTTTGTTTAAAAAAAAATCAGAGTCTGAACGATGATAGTACAACAGCTTGCCTTGCTCCCAGCTGACCCAGCACTCAGTACCATCCACAGAGCCTTCCAGGAGTGATCTCAGAGCAGACCCAGGTTCAAACCCCAACACTACCTACTGTCCCAAGACACCAGCCATGAATGATCCTTGAGTACAGGACCAGGAGGAGACCTGGAACACTACTGGGTGTGGCCCCCAAACCAAAAACAAAAACAAAATAAAAGACAATAACTGGCAAAGACCTCTGGAGAGAATTTCCATGGGCTATTAGGAGCTTTGGACTTTCACGAAGAAAGTTCTTAAGCTTCAGAAGAATAAAAAAATGGGAAAGATACTCCAAAATTAACAATGTCTTAAGTAACTGGGCATGAAGACCAGACCCTTCTCTGGGATAGAACACAATCCAGGCAGTGTGCATGTGTGTGCAGAAAGAGGTAGCATAAAACTAGGCAGTGCATAATGGAGTGACATCATAGCTACTGCATGAGATTCAACGGGGAAATAAAGCTGTGCAAATACATTTTGCTCGGCCGAAATACAGGTCGGTGACAGAGCGCATGCCTCGCGTGTATGCACCGCAAGTTTGGCGGTGCGGTGCAGAGCATGCAGAGCATGCGCTATATGCACACGGAGGCAAGGTAGACTGACATAACCTCAAGGCACACCCGTTAGGAACACTGCGCTGAACACTCGAGAAGAACCTGGGGGGGCGTGGATCCTATCCAACAGCCAGAAACCGGCAGGCGACCCGGGTACTTGGGGACAGCGGGGTTTCAATCTTCCCTTTACCAAGGTCCCAGCCATCTACCGCTCGCCCTCGTCCAACTCGCAGCCAATCAGAATCTCGGAAAAAGACGCGAGCCAGGCTCGCCCCACGCCAAGTTCCCTCGCCGCCCGCCCGCCCGCCCGCCCGCCAGGCCTGGCGCGCGCGCGTCTCTCGCTCTCTTTCGAGGGCTGCTCCTAATCAGAAACAGACGCCCGGGCCGGCGCCTCGGAACCAGGGGCCCCCACGCCCATCCCCCACCCCGGTGCGCCCGGAGAAGCCGGACTCGTCGGGGCTTCCTGGGATGATGGTTAGTCCCGACTTGGCGCCGCAGAGCCGCCCGCGCCGGACCCCGGGCCCCGGGGAGGAGCCGGGAGCCCGGTGGCGGGCTGCGAGCAGAGATCCCGGCCCAGCCCAAGACAGCCGCAAGCCGGGCCCAGGCGGTGGCCGAGTTCGAGCAGGTGAAAATTCTCGCACGCACCACCGCCCCCCACACTCCAGCCCCCACATTGCTGCATTTCCTTCTCTCGGAGGCCCGAGCGCGCGGGGGAGCCCCCGGCCCGACACTGACCACCCGGAAAGCGCAGGCCCGTGACACCCAAGGTGGCGGGGAGTGTAGGTGCCGACAGGCCTCGACACTTGCCCACTCCACCTCCACCTGCAGGGAACAATATAAGTGCCAGCTGCTCCCGCAAAGAGGTCGCAGCACCTGGGAGGGGTGGGGGATGGCTGAACACCCCCCCCACACACACACACACACTCTAAGTGCGGCAAGTGGCCCCCGCAGCGAGGAGGATGGCAGGGCCGGGCAAGGCATGGGGTGGGGGTGGGGGGAGGGGTTGCACGGCTCCAAGTCCTCGCGGCACCCTCTGTCTGAAGGGTTGAGTCCCCGCCGCCCTGGCGGAGTTCGAGTCCAACGAGACCCCGGAGCAACCTCCCGGGAAGCTGAGGCGCCCTCTCCTCCCGCTTCCCGTTCCCCACATGGGTGGGGGCGGCGGACGCTGCCGCTCGCCGGGAATGACCATCTGGAGCCCGCCACCAATCAAGAGCTCGGACCCCGAACCAGCCCGGTCCCAGGGCTGGGCGAGCGCAGACCCGGCCACCCCCTAGAGGGCCTCGGCCATCCCTGGCAAGCCTAAGAGATTTCCCTCCCTCGCCAAAAAAAAAAAAAAAAAAAAAAAAAACCAACCCCAAACTCCATTTTTTTTTTACCTGTGGCAGTCCCCTTACTCTTCTTCTTCTTCCGTCTTTTCTTCTTGGCTGCCTCCTCAGCCGTCGAGGCCGCTCCCTCGTCCTTGTCGTCGGGATCCAGATCGCCATTCAGGTGGCTCCCGGAGGACGCGGGCTCCTCCACGCCCGCCATGTTGCCCGAGAGAGCGCGAGAGTGAGACGGAGCGCAGAGGGCCCGCTCCTTCTTCCCCGCCTACACCCGCCACGCCGGAAGCGCCTCTCGATGGTTGCGGCCGCGGGGGATGCTGGGACGGCGGCGGACTCGCCGGCCGGACCTCGCGCGTTCAGGTGGTGGCCGGCGCGCCCGCCGCCCAGAGTGGAGGTGGGGCCCGAGCGGGCCTCGCCGCGCCGCGCCGTGCTCCAGCCGACCCACGGCTGCGGCCAGCCTGCGTCGGCCCGCGTCGGTCCCGCACCTCGGCCTCGCTCTCTCCTGGGAATCTGCCCGCCGAGAGGGTGGGGGGCAGTCGAAAGAGAGGGTCGAGCCCCAGAGAGCGATGGGGAGATGCTCGTGCGAGCGTCTGCGGAGCGACTCGGGGAAGGGCTCCGAAAAGTTTGCTCCGGGCGCCTCGCCAAAACGCCCCGGAAGCCGGCGAGGATGCGCGTGTTCGCGGGTAGCCTTCCAACTTGGATGCGTGGTTATGCACATAGCAGCCCCAGCTCCTCAGCGGGGCCGCCCGGGGGACTCTTGGAGACAGATTTGGAAACTGGAATTCCTTGTGCATCGCGTGTGCCCGCAACCCGGGAAGGTTCAAAACTCACCTCGTACCACCCCCGCCCCCACCTCTGCCAACCAGGCATGACCCAAACATTGGAAAGTCGCCCCTCTCTCGCCCTGGAATGCCAAGATTCACATTTCCAATTTCCCTTATCAATTTCTCACGAAAGGTTAGAATTTGAGCAAGCCTTCCTTCCCCCCCCCCCCCGCCCCCCTTAATTTTCATCTTTTGTTTTCTTGGCCACACCCAGCGGGGTTCAGCAGCCACTCCGGGCTCTGCTCGCGGGAGCACCGGGGGCTGCTCCCGGTGCTCCCGGACTTTCAGGTCAGCTCTTTTTTTGCTGCGTAAGACCACGTTTTACCTGCCTTGGAGGTTCAGGCAATGCCTCTTTAATCCTAAACACGACTTCCTTCATTCTTTTACGCCCCTTAAATTACATCCTTTCAGTTGACACGCTGGCACTTTGGAGGTGGCTGAACAAAAATCGAGGTAGATACTGTGTAATTTGCTAAATTCTCAAATCTGCCTTTTCGCGAAGGTGCCTTGTTGCGTCTTCCTACTCGTGCTGGGCTCTGATTCTCGAAAGTTTTTTTTTTTCTTTCTTCCTGATCTTGGAGCATTGTGCGCACACATTGTTCCTTCTGTCCAGCCTCCGTCCAAACAAGCCATTATCCGTCCTTCCCTTCATTATTCAGTGCTTAATTTGTGTTTGTGTTTGAGTCTTACAAAAGGAAAAATAGATATGGCCCTTGTCATCCTAAAGCCAATAAGTATTAATAATCCTAATAAGACAAATTTATGACTAATGATACAAGGGCATTATAAAAGGATTTGCCTGGGCAAAATAATCCAGTAAGGCTTTGATCAAATGTTGACAAGCTGAGATCTGAAAGATCATTGGCAAAGGATAGGGAAGAGGAGAAGGGAGAATATTCTCTGAAAAGAGGGATAAGGAGAGTATTGACATATTTAAGAAAAGGATTAAAGATTCTAGTGTTAAGAGTAGTTACCTAGGTGGAACTTTGGACAACTCCTTTTTTTTCAGCTCTATTATGCTGTCATATAAATAGGAGGGAGGGGGACGCATGTAAGGAGCTGAGGAACAGTCACTGTGAGGAGGCTAACAAGGTGGATGGGTTTTAAGTGTGCTGAAAAGCTACTGCACAGGTAAATACAATCCTTGGAGAAAGGAAAAGGGCTGAAGGAGACCTTTCAGGGCCATTGACCTAGGCTTTGTCCTTTGTCCCAAGAACAATGAAAATTCCCTAAGAATTTCAGTGGATGAAAGAGTAAGCTGATGAGATTTACAATTAGCTTGGTAAAATTTTGTTTGTTTGGGGGCCAGACCATGAGGTGCTCAGGGGTTACTCCTGGCTCTGCACTCAGGAATCACTCCTAGTGGGTTCTGGGACCCTCTGGGGATCTGGGTATTTAACCCAGTTCATAATTGCAAGACCAGAGCCTTACCTGCTGTACTTTGACCGACCCCAAACCTGGTAAGACTTTTTTTTTTTAATTTTTAATTGTCAGGGCTGCAGCATGTGAAGTGAGTTTGAGTGAGTTTGGGGGTGGCCAGAATGAAAGCAGACTAGTGTTAAATCATTTCTCCTGAAAGGGATAGTTACCCCAAAAGTTAAGTCTGCTTTTCTTAATATGCCTAAACTAGGCCTTTTCTCCTGTCATTGAATGGGGAAATAAGGGTTAGTCATATTTCTATTGACCTCAGGAGAAAGTAATGCAGTTTTTTTTTAGACTGTACCTTTGTTTTAAAAATTGATTTATCATTGATTTACAGTATAGTTTCAAGGGTTTATATGTATTATATATATAAAATATATAATTATATACCTCTATAGGTATGTAATTCCACCACCAAACTTCCAGTGACACCAAAAAGACCCCTCATCATTTTTAATGGTAGAGTAGTAGTCCATTGAAAATATTCATCAAACTCTCTTCATCCAGTCAGCTGCTTAGTAGTTTAGGTTAATTCCATGTTTGGCTATTATGAATTATACTGCTGTATATTTAGGGGTATAAATACCTTTTCAAATATGTTTTCATATCATTTGGATAAATGCCTAGGCGGAGCATGTTGAATTTCCTTTTGTTTTTAAGAAACATAGTTGTTTTCTTTTAAATTTAGGGGCCACATCCAGAGCTGCTCAGTGCTTACTCCTGGCTCCGCTCAAGGATTACACCGCCTCAGGGCTCAGGGCACCATATGGGTGCTGGAAATTGAGCCCTGGTTGGCCACATGCAAGGCAAGCACCCTAACTGTACTATGTCACCAGCCCTGGAATGCAGATTATTTTCTGTTAAGAGCAGTGAAAGCTCTAGAAGCTGAGAAGAAACAATCTTTTCTTTTTCTAAGTCATTTGCTCTTTTCCTTATCAAAGAAGCAGTCACTGTTTCTACCCTTTATGCCACAGAAAAATGTAGTTTGGGGTATCTTCCAAATGAAGATAATTTATAATTAAGATAATTTGTAATTCATAGTTTATTATTTTAAAATAATTTATCAGTGAAAATTACCTCTCTGAGAAACTCATCCCTCAACACTAGGTAAAAATGAAATAATTTTCCTTGTTATGTGAAATCGTCCTCTCTCCTTGATACACAGAATAAATAGCCAAATTCTAGGGGCCAGAGAGATAGTGCAATGGGCAGGGCACTTGCCTTGCTTGGGGCCAGCCTGGGTTTGTTCCCTGGCACTCCATGTGGTCCCCCAAGCCCTGCCAAGAGTGATCCCTAAAGGCAGAACAGGAAGTAAGGCCTGACCACTTTGGTGTAGCCCCCCAGACTAAAAACAAAAGTGAAAACAGAAAAAAAAACCCACAGAAATTTGTCTTTAGACTTTTAATTTAAATTTTCTACACCTATGTTTTTAAGGGCTGGAGCTGTTTCTTTGCTAACCTGCCTAATGATATTTTGATTCCCCATCTGGTCTAAGAATAAAGTACAAGGGTAGGAATCATCCCCCTCTACTCTCCACACACACACACACACACATACACACACACTCACACACACACACACTATGCTAGTTAGAGACCTCCAGGAAAAAGATGATAGTGGTGTATGTCAGGTAGAGGTAGAAGGCTCGTTTAAGAAATGAATAGATTTAAGAAATATTTGGAAAAAAAATATTTGGAAGATAAAATGGGTAGTACTTGATGGAATTGTGTAAGAGGCTTGAGAAAGAAGGAAACATTAAAGAGATCCCTTATTGTGTGATTAAAACTGGGTGAATGGTAGCTTAAATTTCAGAGAAAGAGAAACTGTTAGATTTGAAAGGAAGGATCATGAATTTGATATAGATATACTGAGTCAGAAGTCTTGGGGCATCTGAGTGGAGATGACCAGTTGTCATCTGTACGAAACTAGAGCTCAGAAAAGAGCCAGAACTGGATATAAACATTTGAATCATCGACTAATAGGTAAGAATCATATCTTTAACAGAGCTAAAATCATTAATTACATGTAGCTTTGGAGTACTTAAAATATGGCTAGCCTAAATTGAGATGCCCTCTAAATTAGAATACACCAGCAGATTATAAGTACCCATTATAAAATAAAACAGAATATTGACTATGTTTTATCTTGTTGCTGTTGGAGTGTGTGTGTGTGTGTGTGTGTGTGTGTGTGTGTGTGTGTGTGTTTCAGGTTTTTTGGGTTTGAGCCACATCAAGCAATACTCAGGGCTTATTTGTGACTCTGTTCTCAGGAATGACTTCTGGCAGTGCCCAGGGGATCATACATGGTGCTAAGGATCAAACCTGGATTGACTCTGTGCAAGGCAAGCACCCTACCTATTGTACTGTGTTTTGCACCTATATGTTAAAATAATCCTTTAAAAATACATTGGGTTAAATAAAACAATAAAACATTTACATGATTATATATTTTTATCCATTTTACGGAAGCCATTCCAGGAGTGCCTAGAGGCTGAGTGCGACTGTGGTGGGGATGGGGCATGTGGTGTCAGAGATCAGTCTTGGCCTTCTGCGTAATAGGCATGTGTTTACCACCTCAGCATTTTCCCAGGCCCTCATTTCACTTTTGAAAACATGAATACTAAAAAATTTATAATTATAAGTGGCTCAATATTTTTATTGAACAGTGGAAGTCTCAAGCAAGAAAGGAGAGCCTGGGACTAAGCTTTCAGAAAATATTAAATAGGTGGGTGGGACAGATAAACCTGCCAAAGGGACTGGAGAAGAAGCCCCTACACCTTTATCCCCCAAAGTGTCTTTGAACTTTGTTGTGAGTCTTTCAAGTTCCTTTGTCAATTGTACAAACACCTGAACCATAGCTACCTACTATTCCTGCCCAATTCAGGAGTCCTGGAACCCGGGGCAACAGGGCTGATGATTTTTGTTATTGTTGGGGGAGTGGATTGGGTCACACCTATAGGTTCTCAGGGTCTATTCCTAGCTCTGTGGTTCGCAGTAACTCCTGCCAGTGCTCAGGGAGACTATATGCAGTGCCACAG